TTCTGGAGCTTAGCTCCCCTTAGAGTTGGAAAGTTTTTCTAACATCTAACCTGAATCTCCCTTGCAGCAGATTAAACCCATTGCCTCTTGTCCTGCCTTCCGTTCCTCTTTATAGCTCTAAACACATTTGAACCCTGTTACCAGGGCTTTGTCCAGCCTTGTTTTAAAGATGAACTGTAAAGGAGGGGGAAAGAGTGGTTGTGCTCCTTTTGTGTCCTTATGATGCCGTAACAAGAGAAGGGTGTTCTTATTTCCCTTTGTGAAAGGGGTTAGTAGTTCAGGCTGTGTTTACCTGTGGGGTTGCCTGGGTGATGCAGGAAGTCAGCGTGGATGATCACAGTCGTCCCTTCTAGCCTTATCTATGAATCTGCCCTAGAAGATGGTATGGCTGGCTGGAGAACTGGTAGGATTACATCATGTATGCCCTGGCAGGGAAAGCAGATTGAACGGGGGTGTGGGCGTGTGAATATTTCTGTTTAAAACTGAGTGTACTTTGTTGCTGGAGAGAGAAATTTTCCCTGTTAAGGATTCAACACCCTGTTTCTTCAGTTAAGCGCTGGGAGATCTCCTGATCTGCACTTCTGACTCGCCGAACATGTCCTCAGACCAAAAAAAGGTGGTGGGGGTGGAGATGGACATTCCTGATTTTTTTTTTTACACCCTCAAGCCTTCATTCTAACTCCTAAATAAAACAGTCACACCCACCCTGCACCCGTATTTCCTGCTGTCCTGTAAAGGTTTCAAGCGCTGTTGCCCGTTTTCCTTGGGAGACCCTCAGTATAGAGTCTTGCCCTCTGCAAGTACTTCCTAATCTGGAGCTAATTGCTCTCTGCTCCATTAAGTCTCGTTAGAGCGCTTATGCTCACCTGGAACAATTTGTCTACAGTCTCATTCACGGGTTTCTCTTCTGCATTGTGTCGCAGGGCGAGACATGCTTGCTTCAAGTGAACTTGCAGCCGGTAAACTATGATGGGCAGCCCAGCATGCAGGCCATTGGCACGTGGTGCAGGAATTTCATGCCGCACAGAGCTATCTTTTGACAAAGCACCTTTCAGGACTAGTTGGCCTTTGCCCTCCTCCCTTCAGAACGTGAGCCCCCACCAATAAGCATGGGAGGCAGGTGGGTCACTGACGCTCCGATCTCTTTTATCTGCACTCCATACCCACCCACTTCAGCTTCAAACGTAACCGGCCAGATTGATTTCTGGCCCCTTGCTACTGAACTATAAGCCTGAAAAGCGCACAAACCAAACCCAGCGAAGGCCTGTGCTGTGTTCAAAGAGACACATAGAAGCTTGCTCAGCTGGGTGGGGAAAATCAAGCCCAAGAGGCCCCCGTGTGGTCCATCTCAAGGGGCTCACAGCACCAGAAACAATCTAGGTGCCAAGTGGGAGGCCCCGAATCTGGTGGGTCACAGAGGCAGAGTCTCCGTGCCTTGTGGAGATGGTTTCCTACAGGTCAGGACGGGGGGACACTAACGTGGTGGTAGGAAGGAAGCTTGGTCCACTGCTGCCCTGTGGCACTTGGTCTGTGGTTAAAGCTTCAGTACCAACGTCTTTCAGGAGGGCTGAGGTTTTATCTGCACCGTGGATTTGCCCAGATTCCAGCCCCTGGTGTAGCTGCCCTGCTGCAAACCCCAAACGTAGCCAGAAGCAGCCATCCGGTGCCCTGGGGTGCTTTAGCACAGTTTCAAGGGTGGCTATAAATGGGGCAAACCCCAGCATAGATTGGGTCTGAATTCGTTCATTCAAGTGCTGGCTTGGAACCTGCAAGAACTTCTGGCTCGCTGTGATGTCTGTCTGCACTGTACACTCATCCTCGCGTTCTCAATGTCTTTATTCTTGCTTGTGTCCTAGAAACCCACTGCCCCGATTCCCAGCATGATGTCTGTGTGCAGCGGCTTGCAGGGAGCAGTTGAAAGGGCACCCAGAAGCCCAGTGGAATTGTGGCAGCCATTTCTCTAACTTCATTCCAAAGTATTGGAGAATTGGGTGTTTCTGGCCGCTGAGTCTAGGAGGCTCAGAATTTCTTCATCAGCCCAGGTGCTCCCGAGTGCTCTCCTGGGCCCAACCAGCAGCGTTTGGCATCGCTGCCTCATTTGGGGCCATTGTTAAATCAAGAGGAGTTGCAATCACGGATGGGAGAACTGGCGAGAAATCATGCACTACAGGATCCCAGGGGCCAGGCTTCCAGTTAACGGGATGCCAGGACCCTGGCGGTCAGTAATGCAGACCGCAGCAGACCCCAGAGGTGTGATCAGGATACTGTGGGTCACAAGGGGATGGGAGGGGGGGAGCCAATTGTAAGATGTGAGCAAGTTGGGCTTGTGCGTCTTGCCTACATTAACGCTGTATGGCTGCAAGCTAGCACACAATGAGACCAGTGTTGTGGGATGATTACGCCAAGGCTACCCAAGGTATAAAGATGGCTTTAGGATGTTGGATGCCTGTATGCTCTTTACCTCGCTTTAAAACACTGAAGGGATACGTTTCAAAGGC